AGAAAATAGCATTTCAATAAACCAATCATAAAGCAATTTCAAAAATAGATATAACTTGAACATATCTTTATAAAATTACTACTCATAGTGGGTTGGATGGATTCTATGCCTCGGACGCTTACCTATACAAAGCACATAACAATACACAATTGAAGCACCATCTCGATAAACCTTTTCATCTTAATTCAATTTTCTTTTATGTGTTCCTAACTTATTCCATGGTTAGGTGTGTTCAATTGATGTCTTAAAGTACCTAAAATGATATGAGGATGCAAGTATGCACTTGAAAGAGTTAGCCAAAATTTGCTGAAAATAGAGTCTTTGCTCGAGCGCACCTTTGGTTGCTCGAGCGCACCTTTGGTTGCTCGAGCGGTCTGCAAAACTTTATCTGCAAAACTACTAGGAGCTTGAAATGTACATTCGAGCGACACTTCCATCACTCAAGCGAACTGCTCGAATTCTGGAATTTCCAGAATTGTGTTTGAAGTTCAAAGTAGTAATTCAAAGGTTCAATGCTTGCCTATTGGGTACAAAAACATGGAAAAACATTATAAGACATGAAAACATAGTCAATTTGAAATCAATTACTCAAATTCATGCTCAAAATCCTAAATTCAAACTTAAATATGAAGTTGAAACCATGCATGTTTTGAATTTGATTCTTTTCTTTTTAACACTAAACAATATGGTATAAAAGACATGAAACCATGTAGAATCCTTTAAGGTTATCTGTCCACAGCTCATGCATGTGATGACTTTGATGAAATTTAACCTCAAACTTAAGAATTTTTGCATGCATGTATTTATGATCATGCTCAATTCTTCCATAACTAAGTTGATTCTAGCATATTCTTTCTAAATTCATGCAAATGGTCTCAAAGCTTGGTGAATTCATCTCCTATATGGATTACTTACAAGAGTTGAGTGTGATTTCCATACCTAGAGTTGTATTCAAGTGTTGTCTTGCTTAATTCTTCAAGTCCTCTACAACTCCTCTAGAAATCTTCCTTCTCTCTCTATGTTGTTGAATTCTCCCTCTCTTTCTCTCTAAAATCTCAGCTCATTTGGTATAGAAATTGGATTCATAAGTTTGTTTAATGCCTTATATATGAGTGGATTAGGTTAGACTAATCAAGATTGATTAAGTAATTATACTCAACTCTAATTAATTCTAATCAATTCTAATTAATTTATTCTAATTATTTTGATTCGAATCAATTTTCAATTAAAATTGTCATAAAATTTTAAATATTCTAATTAACCTATTGGGTTAGTTAATTTTGGTTTCTACATTTGTTAAGGCTCTCAATTCTGTCTCTAAGTCGGTAATTCTAATAGGTATTCCATAAACAAACAAATATTCACGCTTAAGCATATAATTAAGCAATTAAACTCACACAAATAAATGTATAAAAATAATTTACATGTTGGGGTCGTCACAAATTTAATTTGAATTTTTTAATTTCTTGCTAAACTAATATTGAATTTAAAAATATAATTCCTAATTTTTTTTTGGAATGCGCTCAGATTGAGTTCGCTCAAATTACATCTCTAGTAATATGTATGGATATAAAAATGATTTAATCAATTTTTTTATGGTAAAAATATATATTACACTTATTTATTCATGCGTGCATAAATAATTTACATTAATTTATATCGTTTTCACTTTAACCCTATGAAGTTTTATTATATATATTTTCTAAATCTCAAAAATGGTAAATATAATTTACTCAAAAATTTTTAATGCGTGGGATTGAGAGAGCCACACCTTTTGAAAAAAATATTTAGGCCAAGTTTGGCAAGTCAAATATAATTCAAAAAGTTAAAAAGTTACACCAAAAGCAAAAAAAGTATTACTATTCACAAATAAAAAATATTAAAAAATATTTTATATATTTTTATAATATAAATCCACCGTCAACGTCACAGTCGTTAAGCAGGCATCATACACTTCTCTTGGGGCAAAAAAAAATTTGCCTCCTTCAGGATAAATAACTTTTGGACAGAGATGATCGATCTGTAGGGGCCACCATAGGTCCCATTTTAATAATCTGAATCATTCAATATGTAGAACTCGTCGAGTAATATACGCCTGTAAAAAATCACGTTGATCGGATATCATTAACTATATGATCAAATCAGTTTTATATAAACAAAACAGATGGTGTGATAGTTAACTGTTGAACAAAACTAATCTGATCATATAGTTATCGATATCCGATCAATGTGATTTTTTTTAAACATATAATAATCGACAAGTTGTACATATTAAATGGTTCAGACTATTAAAATGGGACCCATGATGGCTCCCATGGACCGACCATCATTGTCCAAAAGTTATTTGCCCCGAAAGAGGCAATTATTTCTGTGGAGACATGCTGCGCAGCCGAAGGAGAGCCGTACAATCAATTAATTTTCTTCCACTATACACTTTATTTATACAATTTTTTATTACACATTTTTTCATAAAAAGACAAAAAATTAACCCAAACATCCATATTTTTTTCCTTAACTTTGTAGTTTAAAAAGATAAAAAATATACTTATTTAGAACACCCCAAACAATCTCTTAATAATTCTAAAATAATTTATCATTTACATAATATTTTCAATCAATAATTTTATAACACATACAAGTCAACATTCATCACTTAAAAATTATCAATTATATAATTAATTTAAAGAACTTCTTGTGGGTGTTTGGAAAGCGAGTTTTTATATAGGTTTTTTTTAGTTATAGGATATTATTGGAATTTTTTTTTTTTTTTGTTGGGTAGATAGTTAAGTTTTTTTGTGATTAGATATAATGTTTGTGAGAGAAAAAGTGAAATAATTATGGGATTTGATGTGATATTTTATTTAGATTTGTGTTTTTTGGTTTTGCAAAAAAATTGTCTTTTAGTGAAAAAAATAAAAAAAAAATCCAAAAAAAATTGTTGCCAAACACCAGGTCCACTTGCATGGTGTGTATTTTTTTTGGCTTTTTAATTAATTGTTTTTTTTTTTCATTTTTTTAAAAAACTTAAAATATTTTACATTTTCGGTTCTACTCAATTAGGAGGATTGAAAAAGTTTTTTTTTAAAAAATAAAAATTTTGAAAAAATAAATAAAAATAATAATCACTTTGTTTGGTTTCCATTTTCAGAATTTATTTTTCAGAAAATTTTACTTTTTCATTTTTCGTATTTTTTTGTTTTCACTAAAATTTTTAAATATTTTAAGTAATTTTTTTTAGAAAAAATTAGACACACCAAACATAAATATACTTAAAAAGTATAATATTTATAAAAAAAAATCTTTAAAAAATTCACTAAATACCAAAAATACCAACAAAAAAAAAATTAGTACATTTTTCATGTTTTTGTATATTTATTAATTTTTTGAAATATTTTTTCACAAATATTTTACTATTTAAATACATTTAAGTAAGGTGCATCTAAAAAAGTAAAAAAAAAAATTGCTAATTTTTTTTAAAAAAAATATTCCCTACAAATAAAAAAAATACAAAAAATAAAAACTCAATTTTCAAAAAATTCAATTCAGAAAATTAAAACCAAACACACTGAATATTTTTTATTTTCTTTTTTGAAAATTTTTGATTTTTTTTTGTTTTTTACTTTTTTAGATTTGTCTTTGGACTAAAAAATAATTTTTTTAAAAAAAATTAGTAAAATATAATTCTCCAATTTTAAATAATAAGAAAGATTTAATATATCTTTTCTTATTAATTAAAATCACTCAATATATAACATACCTAATTTGAGCTCAAATTCGCAAACTTATCCAAACTTCAACCAAAATGCACTCAGCTCAACTCAACTCAGCTCAGCTCCACCCACCCCCTTATGTTCTACGCAACATGTGATAAGAAGTCTCTGTACAAAAACAATGATGATTAGATGCCATTCAAGATCTGCTATGTGTTTGATACCACAAAAACTGTGCTATTAAATTAACAGCAGTGATTGGGAGCTCTAGTAGAGCTGCTCTAATAGCAGCTCTACTGAGCTGGCAACTAAAAAAAAAAAAAAAAAAAAAAAACAGAAAAAGACAAAACAGTGACCGGAAGAAGACAATTTAATGCTAAGTTTAGAGGTGCTCTTTTAGAGCTCTAAAGCAATTTTCTTAAATTAATCAATCAAGTGCGAATATGAACTAATAATATATTGACAATGAGAAAGTTCTTAATCTATGAAAGTGAAACTGAAAGTAAAAAGAAATAAAAAATGAACTTAAAAAAAAAAAAACTGATAGTAAATATGCTTGTGAAGAGAAATTTCTCATTCACTCTAATTATTTTATTTTATTTTTTTTATCATTATTTTATTTTATTTTTTTTTGTAAAAGTTGAAATTTCTTTGAATTTCTCCTCACAAAGATCTATGAAAATGTTGAGAATCCCAACTAGTATAAAAATGTTGTATGTGTTTTATGTTTTAAAATTTTAATATGAGAGATCTTAAACTAAAAGTAATTTTTTTTAAACATAATTTTTTAAAGGATAAATTACAAGTACACCTCTTGAGATTTGATTAAAATACGAATCGTCTCCTGTGATTCTAGTAATTATGTTTCACCCCTTGAGGTTTCTAATTTCATAACAAATCGCCCTTTTATTAATATATCATTAAGTCAATTAACAGTTTTTAATGATGTTAAAAATATGTTTCAATTAATAATTTAGGTAATTTTATTATTGTATATAAGAGAAATTATGAATTTCATTTTTTTAGTTAATTCTGTTAAATAAAAAATTCTAACAATGGGGCATTTGTAATTTTTCAAATCACAGGGGCAATCTGTATTTTAAACAAATCTTAGGAAGTGTAATTGTAATTTACTATTTTTTTAAAAAATACTAAAAATGAAAAAATGAAAACAAAAAATGATATTTTTTTAGAAACAGACTATTTTAATAATTTTTTTTTATTTTTTATAAATAAAAAAAAAATAATGTAATAATTTATATTCACTTTTAAACGAAAGTGTGCCAAACACCCATATCACCATCCGTTGCTACCCAAGAGTTTCCGACCTTCCGAAAGTCGAACATCGGTACCTTGCTCTAGAAAACTCTGCTTCTCTATTTCTGTCTTCCTCAACTCTCCCTGGACTCTCTGAAACTCAACGCCCTCTCTCTCTCTCTCTCTCTCTCTCTCTCTCTCTATATATATATATATATATGGGTAATTGGAATCGGAGATGGATGCCGCGTAGAAGGTACCACCGAGAAGATCCAGATTCGTACCATAGGCCCTACTACACACAAACTGAATCTTCTGGTATCTCACTCTTCATTCTACTTGTAAATTCTTTCTCATCTTTGAGTTTCGTTGACCTGGATTTGTCTGCAACAAAAAGGAATTGTGTTGATTGTATCAAATTTGATTTACCCTTTTTACTTATCTGCCTATTGCATTCTTTTTCATTTGTGTTATGGTGTTATTGCCTTGCTTGGTTGCTGAGAAAACTGCTTAAATTCCAACAAAAAGCATTTTAAGTGCTTTTTCTTTTCCCGGGTGTTATGGTAAATGAAAAAACCTCATCTTATGACGCTGGATCAATAATTCTGTGGAAAATGTTGTGTACCCAGGTCCCTGATTAGCTGGAAATGCAAAATTTAGGGCTTTGTATTCCGAGTCTTCTATTTTCAAAAATAAACAAAGCCTAAAGATCATTCAGGAATAGTGTAGAAGAAAATGATTATATACTGAAATATAAGTCCTATATGGTACTTGTTATACGCATTTGTTTAGATGATTGGATAGTGATACATCTAAAAAGCATTGAACACTGAAGCATTTAATGAATTTTACGTTGTTATTGTGAATTAGTTATTAACTAATATGTCATTTTGTGGATTTAATTATTAATTATGGTCACAGGACTTGCATCTGGTAACACTGCAACATATTGATGTTTGTCTGAGATTAATTACTTTCTTTATCTGCAACTCACATTCCTTATCAGTGTCTTACATTTACTGGTTACTATTCTCCGGTCTTGATTATTATTAGAGAAGTGCTAGAGACTCACAATTTAGATCTACAAATTCAACCACAATGATGTGGCAGAGGAGTTAGGCCTATATCATTTGATGTGTAGCAAATCAAAAGTAGACATCTATCATAATAGATCAATGTGGGTCAAACTGTGGGAGCTTTTTGAGGTCTCAAACATTTTCCGTTGTATTATATCATACATATGGGAGATCCATTTTTGTAAGAACTATTTTGGGAGTTTGCAGTTACTGTACTGGTTGCTAAAATTAAATTATAATTTATAAGTTAGTTGGTTTTTAGATTATTTCCGTAACATACCTTTTGACTCTTGTACTGATACGGTTTAGTTCCCATGGAATTCAGCATATCTTGCCAAGGCAATACTAACTTGATTTTGACATTTAAGGTCCCGTGTTTTTCAGATATCAAGCATTAGATAAAATTACATTTAGGAAAGTTGAAGATTGCAGCTAGCTACTTAATTACACTATTCTATTATTAAACCTAATGAGTTAAGATTTAACTTGAGGTATAATGTTCGTCTCTTAGGAATTGTTTATTTTGAGGCGGTGAGGGTGTTAGTTTTGGTATATAAGTGCCCCATAAATATATAATGGGGGTGTTTGGGAAGAAAAAAAATAGCCTAATTTAGGCTAAAATTCACAAAAAGACAAAATAGGCTAAAATAGCTAATAAGACAAAATATCACATCAAATCCATAATTATTTCACTTTTTCTCTCACAAACATCACATCCAACCATAAAAAAATCCAATCATCTTCCCAAACACAAAAATTTTAGCCTACTAAAATAGCCAAAAACTAAAATAGCCTACTAAAATAGCAACTTCCCAAACGAAGCCAATATCATTTTCATGGCTGGATTCTTTGGCACTTATATACCAAAACTATCTTCCTCCTTACCTCCTCAAAACGATATTAAATATATATATATATGTACATATTGTAAGAATTCTGAAAAATTTATGTATATTCAATTGTATTTACTGAACAAAGAATACATCACTTATATATAACACTAAATTCTAATCCTAAACGAATACAGCACTGATATAGAATTCTGATAGATATAGAACACTAATCCTAAATAGGAAACAAGAATAAATCTAAGCCAATCCTAAATAGGAAACAATATTCACGTAATATATACTATACTAATATTATTCTCACACCCTCGTTCAAACTCAAGGTATTTGGGCAGAAAATACTGAGAGTTTGCCAAGAAAAAATTGAAACCGAGCAGCGGTGTGAGTCTTAGTAAAGAAGTCAGCAAGCTGTAGAGCCAAGGAGACGAAAGGAAGCGAGATAGAGCCAGACTGCAAATGCTGACGAACAAAGTGACAATCAATCTCAATGTGCTTGGTCCGCTCATGGAAGACAGTGTTATGTGCAATCTGAATAGCACCGCGGTTGTTACAATAGAGGGAGGTCGGGGAAGACTGAGGGACGCCCAAGTCAGAAAGAAGACAACGAAGCTAGACAACTTCAGCAATGACATAGTCATAGCACGATACTTAGCTTCGGCAGTAGAGCGAGTAACAACAGTTTGTTTCTTACTTTTTCAAGAGATTAAGGAATCGCTAAGAAATATACAGAAACCAGACGTGGACTTGCAATCAGTAACATCACCAGCCTAATCAGAATCAGCATAGGCTACCAAATCCAGAGAGGAAGTAGAGGATAATAGTAAACCTCGAAAGATAGTACTGCGGAGATAGCGAAGAATCCGAACCAAGGCAGCCCAATGTGTAGAGCGAGGAACAGAGACAAATTGGCTAACTACATGAACAACATAGGCAAGATCAGGACGAGTAACCGTCAGATAGACTAAGCAACCTATGAGCTCTCGATATAGAGTAGGATCATCCAGAAGAACACTATCAGTAGTGTTGAGTTTTACATTAAGCTCAATAGGGGTATTATAAATCTTAGTGTCAATAAGACCGGCACGATGAATAACCTCATTGGCATACTTGGCCTGAGAAAGAAAGTAGCCCTTAGGAGAAAAAGCTATCTCAATTCTAAAAAAATACCGCAATGGGCTCAGATCCTTCATTTCAAAGGTGCGGAAAAGATGCTACTTGACCTCAGATATAGCAGAAGAGTCAGAACCAGTGATGATCATATCATCCACATACAGTAATAACGCAACAAATCCAGCAGAGGCATGGAAAAGAAATAAAGCAGAGTCCTGGGCACAGGGATGAAACCTAAGCTCAGTAACAGCAGTTTGAAAGCGATCATACCAAGCACGAGGAGACTGCTTCAGACCATACAGAGCACGCCGAAGGCAACAAACCTATCCAGAGGAATGGTGAAGGCCAGGAGGAGGACGTATGTAAACTTCCTCTGTGAGATGGCCATTTAACATCCATCTGATAAAAAGGCCAAGAATGAACAACAGCGACAGAGATCAAAGTATAGACAGTAGTCATCTTGGCAACAGGAGCAAAGGTTTTCTCATAATAAATACCATACTCCTGTGAGAAACCTTTGGCAACCAGACGAGCTTTGTAACGCTCAAGAGAACCATCAGAATGAGTCTTAACTTTGTAAACCATTTGCAACCAACCAGATTCTTACTAACAGACAAAGGAACCAACTGCCAAGTACTAGTTTTCTGTAAAGCAGACAACTCTTCCTCCATAGCTTGAACCCAATGAGGATCCTAACAGGCCTCCTTGTAAGATTGGGGTTCTGAAAAAGAGTGAATAGCAGACAAAAAAGTACGATAGTAAGTAGAAAAACATATATTAGACTAACCCAACCTGTTTGGAGGATGACGTGCTCGAGTAGGATATCGATGTGCAGCAGGATCAGAGTTGTCAGAAGCAGAAGGATCAGCAGCAGGGGCAGAGACAATCGGTAGAGGAGGAGCCTTGCGACAAGAATAAATTGACAACGGAGGAGGAGAATAAATCGAAGGAGGAGTAACAGCCAGAGGTGAAGTAGGAGGAGAAGATGGAACAAGCTCAGGAGGAACTGTGGAGATTTACTTATCAGACGGGACCTCAGAAGGAAACGGATCAATATGAACCAAATCCTTATTGGAAACTGGGGCAGTGAGAGGAGCACGCTGAAAGTAAGGTAGATGTTCGAGAAAAGAAATACGATGGAAGACATAAAGACGACGGGAAACAGGGTCGTAACACCGATAGCCTTTTTGAGTAGAACTATAACCCAAAAAGACATAGAGGACAGACTGGGGACTAAGTTTGGTCCTATCTTTGTGGGGAAGAAGGACAAAACAGCTAGACCCAAACACACGAAGAAGGGAGTAGTTAGGAATTTGGGAGAACAAAGCCTCATAAGGAGACCAACCAGAAAGAAGAGGAGTATGCATGCGGTTGAGAAGAAAAGCAGCAGTAAGAACTGCCTCCCCCCAGAATGGAGTTGGAATTGAGGCAGAGAGAAGAAGAGACCTAACTGTCTCAATGAGATGACGGTGTTTACGCTTGGCTCTACCATCTTGGGCAGGTGTATTTGTACAGAAAGTTTAGTGAATGGTACCCAAATTGGCTAAATACTTACAGAACTCATTTTTAAAATATTCCCCACCCAAGTCAGACCGTAACACTTTAATTGTAGACCCAAACTGAGTAGTAATCATAGACTGAAAGGTACGGTATATGTGATAGAAATCGAACTTATGAGTTATAAGACAAACCCAAGTATAACGGGTACAGTCATCAACAAATGACACATAGTATGCAGAACTCCCTTTGGTGAGAACAGGAGAAGGGCCCTAGACATTAGTATGAACTAAAGAAAACGGTGAAGCAGATATAGAAGTACTTTTACAGAAAGGTCAGGCTGTCATTTTGGCAAGTTTACACCACCGACACTCAGTAAGTTGACTAGAAGAAACTTTACCCAATATACTTGATTGAGCTAAAGACCGTAAGCGGTCAGCAAACAAATGTCATAATCTGGAATGTCACAAATTGAAAGGACTTGACAGAAAATCTAACTGAAAAGAAGAAAAGGCAGTCGGAGAGGTAGTCATAGGCAGATGCAAGTTCTCTACTACATAAAGGTCTCCAACTCTACAGTCAGTCCCAATCTGTTGTTTAGATATCCGATCCTGCACAAAATAAATAGAAGAAGAAAAGATAGCATCAAAACCAGAGGCATCAAGTTGACTAATAGATAATAAACTGATCGATAATTGAGGAATATATAAGACAGATGAAATAGAGACTGCAGACATAGCAGACGGTAGGACAGACCCAACAGATATAACTGACATACCAGATCCATTAGTAGCATTAACAGTAATAGGAAAGGGAGGGGGAGTACAATTCTGAAGTAAGGAGAGATGATGAGTCATATGATAAGAGGCACCAGAGTCAAAAAGCCAGACAAACGAAGAGATACTTGAAGAAGATCTAAGCAAACCTGAATGAAGAGAGGAAACAATGGAGGCAGACGAAGATGGGTGGGAGGTAAACAGTGTATGCTGAAGCTAACTAATCTGAGCACTCAAGGAAGCCAAATCAGGATCAGGAGCTGGAGCAGATGCAGTAGAATCGGCGGAAGCTTGAAAAATACTCGGAGAAGAAGGGCAAAATTGGGTCCAAGACTGCTGAGAATACGAGCCAGACAGACATCTCTTCTTGGGACAGTGATACTTCCAATGACCCCTCTGATGGCAGAAGACACACTCATTGGAAGTCAATAGCCCTTTCTTGGGCTTTGCAAAAGGTTGAAGCTGATGGATATCCAACACCATAATGAACCAAAACTAGAGAACCAATTGGGCCAAAAAAAAAAAAAAACTGATGGGTCTAAATGTAATATCTAGAACCTTGTGTGGTCCAAAGAAGAATAAGGGAGAACTATGGTCAACCAAAGAAGAACCAGGTCACGAGACTCAGAACAAGAGAGAGAGAGAGAGAGAGAGAGAGAGAGAGAGATGTCGTGATGCAATGGGTTGCGACTCTGATAGATGCGACTGATGTCGCTAGTCCAGCAACAACTGAAGCTGAAGAACTGATGTTGCAATTCCAATAGATAAAGTTGACCAGAGAAGTTCGAACCAGATGACCAGTAGACGAACTAGAGAGGGTTGCAAATTGAAGGTGAGACGACGCAATGATGGGTAACGATGATGCAGTTGATGGGTTGCAATGCAAGGACAGACGAGTTGCGACACTCAAGAGACCAATTCGCGATAGACAACATTGCGATTCCGGCGAGAAAACATGATTCCGATGGTCATCGACAGGCCTTGAATCAGACACATTTCGAGATCAGAAGAGTTGTAAAGAACCTGACGAGGCAAAGGGTGATCTGATGACTTGAACTTGAGCAAATCCAAAGAGCAAAATCAGAGATGATTTCAAACCAGAGGGAACCTTCAAATTGAAGGAAGAACTTCGAACCAATCAGAGGTGAGAACTAGGGTTTCGGACAAGGCTCTGATACCATGTAAGAATTCTGAAGAATTAATATATATTCAATTGTATTTATTGAACAAAGAATACATCACTTATATAGAACATTAAATCCTAATCCTAAACGAATACATCACTGATATAGAATTCTAATAGATATAGAACACTAATCCTAAATAGGAAACAAGAATAAACCTAAACCAAGCCTAAATAGGAAATAATATTCACATAATATATACTATACTAATATTATTCTCACATATATATGTATAGACAGACGTCTAAAGAAGTAGTATGAAATTTATGTCTCATGTAGCATTACAAATAGTTACATTAGGAAGATTTCAATTTATTTCTAAAAAAGTCATATGAAAAAAAGTCATCATTAGATATGTTTAGATTGTTTACTAGTGTGAGAGAGAGAGATGTTACATCTTCCATACTTTATTAAGTACTTGTACATATTTTAAGAAATCTAAATATAAATTCTTTTAGTGTTTCATATTATTACGATTTATTGCTTTATTGATTATGAAAATGGTCAACTTAAGTCTATTATTTTCTCTTCATGATTGTTTACAAGTTGTCTATTGTTGTTGCTTTGGTCATGTTGGCTTGGGCTAAGGAGGGTAACACAGACATGCATGCACACAGAGTGAGAGAGAGTGATATGTTCATGATAATAATTGTCAAATTGAGAATCGTATCGTGAATAAAATTCTTAATTTTGCAAATCTTGAATCAAATTGAATTGAGAATCATTAAGATTCTCTACTAACTACAAAAGTTGATAAACAATTGTATATAAGAACAAAAATGAAATAAATTGATTTTTGCACATGTTATAAAATAATTCTTATATAACGACATCATTACACCATCTAATTGGGGAAAAATTGCCTCCATAGATAGAGATGTGGTCTAAATCCCACCAACCATACAATTATTCAAAAATCAAAATATAATCACTCTTGACATTAAAAAGTGAATCTAGGAGCCCTACATATAGATATAATGAAAGGAAAGAATTAAGTGGAATCCTTTATTTTAAATCCTAATGCACTTTAAAAAGTATGTATAGCATATAATAGAAAGAAAGAACTAATTGGAATCGTTTATTTTAAATCCTAATACACTTTAAAAAGCGTTTAAAAAAAAAAGTAGTGGAACCATTGAGTTTAATTGACTTGACCCATGTAATATTGAATTATATTTATTTTACTAAAATAGCAATAAATAATTCATTGGTTTAAGTTATTTTAACCTTGTCTTGAGAAGATGTATTATGTTTATTTTTTTATTTTTTGAAGGAAAGTATGAGAAAAAAGTTTAAAAACATGTCAAATGAATCTTATTAAAAAAACCCTAATCATCGAAATAACAACAAATCATGCATAGGTATTGGTTAGTTTTGTATTAAACACTATGAGAAGTTGTATTATGTCATTTTTACTTTAAAAAAGGAAGTAAAAAATAGTTGGAATTTGTTAGACATCGTAGTTTCAAGAATTGCATGAATTGTAAAAAATAAATTGATTATGAATCACGCGATTCACCCTAGTTCACTCTCAAAATAAACACCCATAGATTCATATTGACTATGTATGGATTGCGAATCGAATCATTAATTGTAAGATTCTGATAACAGAACTCAAGATATATTTATTGGAAGCATAAGCCATTTTCTCATGCAATGAAAGTTTACAATGTATGGACTGAAGTAGGGCCAGGTAAACAAATGGCGTTGATTGCACATGCACATAATGCATATATATGGCGTGTCTTGAAGTATCTGCATGAAGTCTCAACATGGCAGTGTACAGGCATAGGGAGGTTGTAAACGACACTACCATCCTTGCTAGAAGGGGCTACCCAGTTGAGGGAAATGGGTGTGACTACAAAGAAGTCGAAGAGTATCTAAAAAGCATACCTATGTGTTGTGTGCCAGAGGCACTATTAAAGGTGCCACATCTAGGTTTTCCGAGGTTGAATAATAACTTTTAAAGGCAGTGGAGTTTTATCTTGGGGAACTTGTGTTTTGTCATTTTGTTTCTTTCTATTGATTCTCATTATTCTATTTATTATTGATGACCAAATGTTAATCACAATTCTTCAAAACCTCATAGTTATAATCTTACAATTTTCAACAGTATCCAGCCATGCTGTGATAAACCTCCAGACTATTTAGCAAGGGTGTACTAAGATACATGCATATTGTAAATCATTTACACTCAACAGGCAAACCAATTGCAAGAAAAAAGGAAATTAATAAGGGGGAAGAAGATTGTTGTTAGTCACAAAAGTTGGGCTCAATCTATCCCCCTCAGCAATGCTGTTAAAACCATTGTCATCCAGTGTATGAGCAGTCCCCATTTTAAATATCTACAAATCTCCAACATTTTTATAGGAACTTTTGGCCCATTAGGGATTCTTTTCTTCCATTTTTTCCTCCATTTTTTTAGAGGTGGGGTCCGTGGGGAGGGGTATTGGCATATTTCTAAGAGAATTTTAAAATGTAGAAACCTCCTCCTGTTAAGCCACATTTGAGGTTGGACATTGCGAGGCTTGGGTTGCTTGATCATGTTTTTTTTGAGTAAATGGTCATTAAGATTTTCCTGTGTGAGAATTTTTGGAGGAGAGTGATTTCCAATGCATATGGGTGGTTTGGAGGAGATTGACCTTTTTGGCTAAGGGTTATGTGTCTTATTGGATGGGTTGAATGAGTTTGTGAATCATATTGACTTTATTGAAGGGAGGGTGATGGATTGAGCTTTTGTCTTTGAGTTTCTAAAATTCAAATAATTTTACGAGGTCCTAATGCTATCACATGATATCTATTCTTGAGAAGAGGTTTGGAGTGCAAGCATTCCTCTGAAACTGTTATTTTTGGATGGGCAGATCACATGGTAAGGTAGCAACCATTATTATTTGATGATTAGAAGATAAATTATTCCTAATCGATCTATCTCATGCTGGAGTTGTGGGTCCAACAGAAATACGTCACATATTCAGTAGAGTTTAGGCAATGTAGTTTTCTGGTTCTGTATAAGTGATTTTTTTAAAACTAACATCTCCTACTGTTGCCTTTTTCCTAAGAAGAATGTTTCTAATTTCACTTAGCTAAATGGGTTTCCAGTGGGATTGTCACTTATGAATTGCTTTATTGTATTTCTATACAGGACTTTGGCAAAGCAATGTACCTTCATGGGAAAAGCAATTTTGCACATTGGTGGGGTCAATTCCATGGCAGAAGGTTATGGTTGCAAAAAGGTATATGAACTGCCATGATGACGTGGTGAAGTGGAATGATTCTGCTTCTGAAGAAGCATTTAACAATGCCAAAAAACGGTTTTGGGCAGCTATTAATGGTCTTCCGTGTGATATTCCTGTGCCTGATCCGGACATGTATATTGATGAAATTGATTGGAATCCTCATATTGATCCTGAATTGATATCTGACTTGGATCAGGAATATTTCAATCCTGATGAAGGAGGAAAAAATAATAAGGTGGAGACTACAGACCAAAATCCACACAACTCAGTTTCTGGCTGTGCTGTTGGATGGCATGGTAATCTGAGTAATGGTGACAATCCTTGGGAAGGTTGTGATCTGAAGGGTACTGAAGCTTTGAAGAATGTAGCACAAGGTTGGAACCCATGGGATGACTCTATCAGTGAATCAAGGAATTTAAATAATGTTGATAATCCTTGGGAGCAGAGCTATACTCGAGTCAATGTATCATTGGAGGATAATGCATGGGGAAGTTGTAGGGATAAGTCATGGGGTTGGAACCAGCGACAAGCTTGTGATCTGCAGTCAAAAACTTTTGACAGTTCTAGGGAACATGACCGTCAAAATGTAGGATCTACAAAGGAGAAGGGATGGGGCGATGCTGGAAATAATTCTTGGAGTTGGGACCGTTGGGAGACCAATGTTCTTGAGTCCAAAAAATTTGGAAGTGGTGACACACCTTGGGCACACAAGGGTAATGGAGGTGGAAAAGACAGAGGATGGGGAGATTGTGGCGACAAAACCTGGGGTTGGAAGCAGTTGGGGAATCAAAATAATGAGCCAAAACATTTGGACTCTAGAACAAATGGAGGAGCTTGGGGAGCCTTGAGTGGTGGGTGCCGGAAGAGAGAAGCTTCTCATCAGTATTCATCAAGGTACAAAAGGTCGAGGTTTCAAGGTGATGACTATGACACTGGCCATCACTGGGGGAAGGGAAGAAGCCAGAAGAGGGTCAGTTTTGCATGAGTAGCTGGGTTGGATTGCAGGCCTTTCGGACAAAGGCCAATGAAACATGGTGATCTTGATTGCCTATGCTACAAAGATCTTAGACCTATTTTTTTGACAATAAGTAAATATCTATTTACAATCTGTATACCATGTGTTTCTTTTACTTGCCTGGGATGTTATGTGGATTTTTGTAAGGATAAATCAACAATGAGGGTTGATGAACCTTTTTGCCTGTGTCACATTTGCTTCAGCTGAATAGGAATTTTTTATTGGCCCTTTGCTGAAGTCTAAATTTACTGTGCAAAGGTATGATTCTTATGCATTTAAAGTTCTCCAATGATTTTTTAATGCTGTTAACCAGCAGCCTCTTATGTCATCTGTTTATTGTGTTGGGTTCTGTGTGAAAATTGCTTTTATTCTTCCTTTAGTAAGGATCTGTTTGAGAAATGTCATTTGCTATTTAAAAGTCAAGCTCTGTGTGCTCAAAATTTATTGAGGGAAGATGGGGTACTTTTTGGAGCATACATGTCTCTTATACATGTTAGTTGTTTGGCATATTAAGTTCATGTCTCATATTGATATATGCATCTAATTTAGTGAGCTTAACAGAAAATGAATTGCATCACCCTTCAGAGAGTGGAATATATTGGAGAGCAAATTTAAGATAGTAATCACTTCTTTCATAGGTTCTTTTTGTTATACAGCTCAGTTACTGCTTACGATGGAAAGAACACTTTTATTGACTTATAAGCTCTTCCACATCTGTCTTATTTTAGAAGGTGTTTGAACCAGGCAGGCTTGATAGATTTGGTATTGCACTGTTAAAGTGCATTATGTTATCTTTATGACTATGGTTTTTCATTTGAAATGAGGCAGTGGATTGTCTTTTTCTTCTTCATTTTTTTTTAATACCTTTTTGTCTTCTTAATAGTTTTTATTTGCAAAAGTTTTTATCATTTATTGTAGTGCTAAATGGAAATGTTAGGGGGAGGGGAAGACCAAAATTGACATGGGATGCAATAGTAAAAAATATATGAATTTGTTTAATTTAATTGAGCATACAGCTCTTGACAGAGCATAATGGCAAAAAAGAATTCATATAGCCGACCCCCCACTTGGGCGGGACCAAAGGCTTAGTTTGGTTTGCTTAAATACACCATTGCCTCCAAAGTATGCGCTTTGTGTCATTTTGGTGCCCAATATTTCAGTTATGTCAATTACTCAATTTAGTCACCAATTTTTGGAATTTTAGTGTAAATGGTCCTTTTGACTGTTTCCATCCATATTTCCTAAATGGGTTACTGGAGCAGGGTATTTTTCGCACAATATATCAACACATCAGTCCAAAAAAGTGGTTATAGTTGTAGTGGAACACGGCTACCCAAATTGCTCCTGCTTCTGTCTGAATTGTCCCCAAAATATGTGCTGTGTCATTTTGGTCCCAAATGTTTCAATTATGTCAATTAATCAATTTAGTCCCCAATGAATGGAAGTTGTGTTTAAATGGTCCTTCTGACTGTTTCGACCCATATTTCCTAACTGGGTTACTGGAGCTGGGTATTTGTGGCACAATATATTAACATATCAGCCAAAGTTGAAGAGAACCACTACCCAAAATGGCCTTGATTCCATCAATCAATTTAGACGGTGTTAGTGTTGGGGACCATTTAAACAAAAAATTCATACAATGGGGACTAAATTGACACAATTGAAATGTTATAGACCAAACTGATGCACAGCACATACTTTGGGCACCAACGGTATATTTAACCCTTTATTGTACTAGAGACAGGATTTTATCTGCTAAAATTATTCATTTTTTCTGTTGAAAAAGAAATCAAGCTTGACCGTCCATGGAATATAATTCGATTCACATTTCCAATGTTGATTCCTTATCAATAAATATCTTAAATTTTTTTGTCAATTGATATAATGAATCAACAATTTTGCCGAATTGCGCCAGATTGCTGTCTTTTTCCGTAAGCAGTTCCTTGGAAAGCTTCACAAGTATCGATGATATTATCAGCTCTCATTTTATTATGACACTGATTTTGGATAGAAACCATTATGAGAATGTTTTGAAGCATTCATCCCATTTTTCTTTCCTTCCTTTCCCATCCATCTATTGATACTTGATCGTTGTTACCAGCTTGACTAGTTGTTCAGATTTAAACGTCTTTTACTTAACAATTTAAAATTAGTATAGAGTTTTACTTTATTTGATAATTGAAGTAAAAAATAGTCATTTGTGTTACTTTTGGTTATTTTCATTTTGTTGGTTATCAAAATAGGCCTGGCTCCTATTGAAGCCACTCCCGGCAAGTGCCAGTCTGCCACTTCAAGCTGTTAGTTGTTGGCAACTTTCTGTCTTGAATTCCCGACAGGATGTCTTACCAATCAAAGAGAATCTAGGAGGATAGACCAAAAAAAAAAAAAAAATTGTTCCCTGATTAGATTCTTGAAGAACTCTGTTCCTTTTTCTTCCCCTTGTGCTCTTTCGTTCTCATCAAATAGATTTTGTTGTTATAAGCATAGTCATGCCCTAATTCTTTTTAATTGAACCTAAATGCCAAATTCCATGACCTAACCTTTCTCCCTTCTCTGGCCTCATTCTTTAAGACTTCAAAACCTTTAGTTAGTTGTTGTCGAGAATTTCCCAGTCAGTTTGTCTATATTTGAGGAACTAATTACTTCTAATACCAAGCCAATTTTAGCCCCCTCTCCTGTGGAAGTTCTTCAGCTTTATATAGTCTTATCCTGCAAGCTTTTTGTGACTTTAGCAACAATAAAAATAATCATAGCTTTTTCTTTTAGGTGCTTTCTTGTACCCACGGTAACTAAAACATAGCTGATGTGATTGTATGATTGATAAAGCAAATAGAGCATAAACCCACCAATAACTCCTACGTTGTTGCTAAAGGAGCTCCTAGGTAAAGGAACACTTCTTTCAAAATTATTGCACCCACAACTTGCAAATTCTAAATTCTAGATATTAGGTAATAAAAAGCAAGGGCTCATTGTTCCCCGGCAAGACCTCACATAGAATGTCGACTTAGTAACACAACTATATGTTTCTGGACTTAAGGCTAATATGAATAAGAGTGATTTGGTTGGGTTGAATGTTCCACAAGGAAGGATGCTTAAGTTAGTTGGGTTTGTCATTGGTTCTTTGCCCATGACTTATTTAGGCCTTTCTTTTGGGCAATTTCTCATTCTCCTTAGAAATTCATGTCTTAAGGGTTGGCTCAGTTTAGCTCCTTTGTTCACTTCAATATGGCGAATAGGAAGGTTGTTCAGTTTTGGATGTTTGAATAGGGGAGGTTTCTCTTGCTCATTCCTTTCTTCAATTATATCATTTATCTTGTTCTCATAATGTGTCTATTGTTTCTATGATTTCTTCTCATTCTTCTCTGATTGGTTAAAATTTCAAGTTCTTCAGAAATGTTAATGATTGTGATATCAATGATCTTGTTTCGTTGTTATTGATTCTTCATGCTGTCTCTTTGAGGCTTGATGCTATTGATAAACCTTTATAGTCCATTTATTCATCTATATTTTCTCTTGTAAATCCTTTTTTAAGAAGCTAATTGATGATCAAAATGTTCATTTTTCTGATCCCTATAAGTTGATCAAAATGTCATCAGTGTTTTACCTTCTTCTTGTGCTCAACTGTTGGAAATTGATTTTAGAGGATTTAGTTCTTATGATAAAGCCCTGGAGCTTCGGAATTGTGCAGTACTTTGGGTAACTTGATTGGAAGGGAAGGGAATTTGAGAGGTTGAGAGAGAAAGATTGATTTTTCTTTTTTTTTGGTCTCTTTTTGGGTATCAGTTTTTGTACTTTGTAGGGGGATTCATTTGTATTTTATTTAGAGTGATTGGAGAGGTGTGCAATTTTTAGCTATGCATGGCAATTGAATGACCCTTTGTTACAGAGCATAATGACATTGTATTAGTAAATAATGGATAAAAAATGCCATACATGACATCACACACATATCTGCAGTGAGCACTTTCTTGGGCTTCTTATCTTGAAAGTTTTTATCTGTGTTTAACTCTTCTTTGAAATTGGCTGTTGGTTTAGGCTTTGACCTAGTCTCTCTTTGGACCTTTCTGGAGACGTTTATATAATGAAATGTAATTTTGTTCTCATGCTATATCAATTATGAGCACATCTTAGTAAAAATTCACACGCCTGCAGCTTTGAATTTATCACCTCTTAAACCTTTTAGAAGATGCCTATACTCTGATTCTGAAGCTGGGATTGGAATTATGGCAGATTTTTTTTATTTTTTATCTTTATGGTGGAATTATGTTCAGTTGGATTGTACAGAAGACTTTATGCTGGGTTCAACTATCTAATGCAAGTCTCCTTTATATGGCTTTGAACCATGTAAAACGATGGTAGGCAGATGCATCTGTGTCATTTCAAAAATGCCATATGAAACTAATTCTGTCCCTCCACTATAGTTCACATGTTAAAGCTGGAACCATGCTGTAAATCACAGAGCTAATAGTGGCCAATTTATTCCTTCATACAGAGGTTGCTTCCTGCATTTGTTTATTTATAATTAAGGTCATCAGCCATTCATTATCCAACTATTTAGAATCCAAAACTACTAACAAATTACTTAAATAATCTATCTGAGACTGTAAAATCTTAACTGGTGGCAATGTGAAGTCAAATGTTACAAATTAATATAAACGATAAAGTATGATATTATCTTGACTGAAGAATGACGATGGTGGAAATTGTACAAGAAAGTCTCATTCTTCTGTATTTTTCTTCATTTGAAAACCTGTGTAAATAATTTTGTTTTATGGAATTCTACTGCACCTAATATAGAAAAATGGAAGCTCTTTTCTAAGTAGTTTCTCTTTTGGAAAGCTGCGTAGTTTGAAAATTTACCAGAACAAGGAAGTGAAAAGGCATTTGGAATTTTGGATGACAAAAGAATTAGCTAGTCGGCATTAGAGGAGAGCTTCAACCTATCTAGAGGGGATGCATTAGCAGTTATTGAAATACTACCTCTATCGCCCGTCCCATAGCTTTTTCTTTTAGGTGCTTTCTTGTACCCACGGTAACTAAAAAAAAAAAATCAATTTTTTTAAGGAGAGAACATTGGATGTGTTTACACTTATGTAATGTAGTTTGTAAATAATATTTACAAACTAACCCTTTATCACTTTGTCTTACTTTATTAAATGCATTCATATTTGTCTAGAAAGGATACTACTGTAAAAACCTTAAGATCAAGTACCTTGACCTTTCAAGATCAACGAGCACGGGTACGAGTACTGGTACTGGCATTGGCACGATATGGGTATATTGATATGGTAAAATCCAAAAAAAAGTAA